TAGTATGTCTGAAATGTTATATGTATGACTTGATAATGTAAAAGCTAATGATTGAAATTTATTGATATTGAGTCGGAGTTGACATAGTCTTTATAAACTGAATTCTGTCGAAAATTTTAAAAATATGTAGTCCAAATATGGTCAATAAAATTTAACAATAATTTCGATATCAGTTACCATGTATAAAGAAATATGCGAAAGTGTAACAAACATGCTATTTCAAAGAAATTAACTGCCTATAGCAGAAATCTTGATTGATTTGAATATGCAGTTAAAAACAGTGTCCGATAGTGACATGCAACTTGTTCCCAATTATCATTTATTGTTCTGATCAGTATTTTTCGTTTCGTTTTCCTTATAATATTCCTTTACCTGACTGTTGTTGCTACCTTGACGTGGTGGTCGGGCTTGCCTATCGTGATGAAGCAACTGAGCCATACTGGCTGGAACAACCGTTCCTCAAGGTCCTACCATGCCAGACACGTCGGTTGAAGAGCGGTAAGATTAAAAGCAACAAACCCAAGGTCCGAAGGCGAAGTCGTACTGCTGACTGTACAGAGGTGTGACAGCAGTAAGGTGTTTCCTTCAGACAACCAGCATAACAGCGATGCTGCCTTCCCAAAAGGAGGGGAGGAGTTAGAAAATGTCGACCCTAAAAATGCACACCTCGCCTTATCTCACGGATATCCGTCTCCGGCGGTAAGGTCTCAACAAGTACGGAGCTAACACAAAAATTACTCATAAAAAGGTTGTGTGTGATCGACCTCAAGAAGATGTCCCTTGGGCACTGCGGTCACGCTCTCAGGTCACTATGACCACCTCTAATCCAATTCCCTTTTCAGGTACCTCCAGCAGAACCCTTCCACGGTATGGGCAACCGGGAATTGATAACCGCCCTCATACCTCTAACAGCACTCAAGACCACTGTATTCATAATCAACCTCTCTCTTCAATTCCTATTATTCCTCTTACATCGACTTTCAAATCTAAACTCCCTCTTTCGGCTTCCTCCTCAAGTGTCACCACAGCCAACGATTCTAGTGCTCAAAACACTGTCCCAGGTCTACTGAAACCTCGCTCCAAACTACATATTGGAGCCTTCAACGTACGCACACTATGCCAAATCGGTCAGCAGGCTTCCTTGGCTAAAACCTTAGAATCTCGTACCATTGATGTATGCTGTGTCTCCGAAACACGCATACGGGATCCTAATGTGGTCATTCACTTGACCTCACCTCGGCAAAACGGAGTGCCGACGAGATACACCCTCCGTGTATCTGGCGACCCGATGGCTAGTTCTCGTGGACTTGCAGGTGTAGGCATAGCACTAAGCATGAGGGCGGAACAAGCGTTATTAGAGTAGATCCCCGTTAATAGTCGTCTATGCGCTGTTTGGCTAAACGGCTCCGTAAGAACTCGAAAGGATAGGGACATACGTCGTTGACTTTTCGTCATTTCTGCCTACGCTCCCACTGACTGCAGCTCGGATGAAGTGAAAGATGAATTTTACAGAAAACTCTCTGAACTTCTTCAGAAAGCTAAACGTTCAGACATAGTACTCGTAGGAGGCGACTTTAATGCCCAGGTAGGTAGCTTAAACGAAACAGAAAGACATTTAGGTGGGTATTTTAGTATTCCGGCACAGCGAACAGATAATGGTGATCGTCTGCTGCAACTGTGCTCAGACAATCGTTTATTTTTAGCAAACACAAATTTTAAGCATAAGGAGAGACATCGTCTAACATGGCGACCCCCTGCACCAAACCAACGATGGACTCAAATAGACCATATTGCCATCAGTCATCGTTGGAGAGGGTCAATAGAAGATTGTCGCTCATTCTGGAGTACCTGTGTGGATTCCGACCATGCCTTAATACGAGCACGCATCTGCTTGCGCCTCACTGGACGCAAAAAAGCCACACAAAAAAGACTCATTAGAACCGAATTGAGTAATGAGAAAACCAAAAGTAGGTTCCAGGAACAATTGAGGTCACACTTAGGTAGTTCTGAAAACGAGGCTGAATCCGATGTTGATTGAAAAGACATACAAGCAGCTGTGGAAACTGCAGTGACATCTACTAGTGATTTAAACCACAGGGTTACAAAGAACCAATGGATTTCGTTAAGGTCTATTGCACTGATAGACTTTCGTAAACTCATCCCATCAGGTTCTGAACACGATGAAGAGCGCAAATAAATCAGATCTAGTTTAAGCAAAAGTCTAAGGAATGATCGTGAGCAGTGTTGAGCAATGAAAGCAAAAGAGATGGAAAAGGCGGCGGCTATAGGAAACACAAGACAACTCTACAGACTAATAAAAGAAACTGGAATTAATAGATCAAGTGTAAGTCAGACTATTTCGGAAAAATACGACACTCTCATCTGCTCCCAGTTCAGACGCTCAGAACGATGGGCGGAACACTTTAAGGAGCAATTCAGTTGGCCTTCAGCTACTCTACAACTACCCTCTATCCCCAGACAGTGTGAATGGAACATTGAAGTAGGTCCCCCAACTCTAGCTGAAGTTCAAAAGGCTATAGCTAATCTGAAACGAGGAAGGGCAGCTGGTCCAGACGGATTGGCCCCAGAGGTCTTTAAGGATGGTGGTCTAGTTTTAGCGATTAGGTTGACTAATATTTTAGCTAAAATCTGGGAGTTAGACGTTATTCCATCTAACTGGTCACAATCACTTATCGTCCCAATATTTAAGAAAGGGTCAAAATCATCCTGTGACAACCACAGAGGGATTAGTTTGACTAATATAGTATCTAAAATACTAGCTTCGATAATTTTCGGACGCCTAACTAAGACTCGTGAACTGCAAACACGTGAAAATCAGGCTGGCTTCAGACCTGGTTGTGGCTGCATCGACCACATATTCACCATTCGTCAGGTTCTAGAACACAGGCATACTTATCGGCGTCCGACAATGGTGGTATTCCTTGACTTAAAAGCAGCGTTTGACTCTGTTGACCGAGAGGTACTGTGGCAGTGTCTGTCATTGAAAGGCGTACCTCAGAAGTACATAAACCTTGTGAAGGCTCTTTACTCGAACACTACTAGTCGAGTCAGAGCTTATGGCGAACTGTCATCTGCTTTTGCAACCTCAAGTGGCGTCCACCAAGGCTGTCGACTTTCTCCATTTTTGTTCAACTTCATCATAGATCTACTGATGGAAATAACGCTCTCATCGACTAAATTCTCAGGTATTGATCTCCTACCAGGAGGTCCACTTATTGACTTAGAATACGCAGATGACATAGTCCTGTTTGGTGAAGACGCTGATGAAATGCAGAGTCTTTTGGTAGCACTGAGCAACAATGCCAGAATGTTTGGGATGCGCCTCTCTCCCTCCAAATGCAAGTTGTTGCTTCAGGACTGGTCTGCGTCAACACTTGAACTAAGGATAGGGGGTGAAGTAGTCGAACGCGTTGACAACTTCACTTATCTTGGAAGTCTGATCAGCCCTAATGGGTTGGTGTCTGACGAAATCTCAGCAAGGATTCGAAAAGCTCGCTTGGCCTTTGCCAACTTACGTCATCTATGGCGAAGGCGAAATATTCGTCTATCAATTAAGGGATGAGTATACTGCGCGGCGGTTCGTTCCGTTCTACTATACGGTTGCGAAACATGGTCTTTAAGAGTGGAAGATATTCGTAAGTTACTAGTATTTTACCACAGATGCCTTAGAAATATTGCGGGTATCTGCTGGGATCATCGGGTAAGTAATAGTGAGGTTAGATACAGGGTATTAGGGAATGATGGTAAATCAGTTGATGAGGTTATGAATCTTCATCGACTGAGATGGTTGGGCCACGTGTTGCGTATGCCTGAACACCGATTACCACGACGCGCAATGCTAACCAGTGTTAGGGATGATTGGAAGAAAGTTAAAGCGGCCAAACCAAAACGTGGCATCAGTGCTTGAAGTCACTAACTTCTAGTCTGAGCCATGTTGGTAGATGCAGACTACTTGGTTGGGGTCCACGCGATTATCGTAACCAGTGGTTGAAGATTCTGGGTGATATGGCTCAGAATCGATCACAATGGCGTCGGTGTATACACTCTCTGTCTTCCTTTAAACTAAGAGATTAAAATCACTTCAAATCTTTCTTTCTAGGAACTAATTCTATCCTCCTGTACTATCTCCTTATACACACTCTTTCTTCTATATATTACCACCACTGAATTAACTACTTCTATGAATCCGGTGTTCATCTTGTTGTGCTAATTGCGGTATGGCAACTTGGACCGATGCATATACGTGCCTGGTCCTACGTTGCAGCTGACTGATAATATTCATTTATATACATCTAATCTTGTTGACTAACTTTAGCAGTGTGTTAAAATAACCTATAATACGTTAATCTTGACACTTACTGACTGTTTAGAAATATCACTTGAAGGGTGACGGCAAACTCATAAAAAAGAAATAATACACTTCACAAATAAACATTGAACAACTTTATTGTGTTACTGTAGAATAAATAAGGTTTGTATGCGGTAGGCATATTTTAATTGAATTGTCTAATTGAATTAATACTATGCTGTTTTTATTACGGTCATAAACATCTTTAAAGGTATTTATCTTATTTATTGTCTCTTCCTACAACCAACTTTGTCCAATTTCCGATTATTATCAGTTGTTCTTATTCAGATAATTACTTAATCATTATTTAATTTTGATAAAAGCAATAGGGTTAGTTTGTGATATAAACTATGTAAATGATGACAAGTATTTGGATGTGAATAATATTAACGAAATCTATCAATGTTTACTGAAGCAATCAATAACCCTCATATTCAGTTCACTATTATCTGTGGTAAACTTTGTCAGGTCATCACCTTTGAATCAGAAACAAGTATCTATATCATAAACCCTTCAAAACCATAGAAATATAAATTCAATAATGTTTTCCTTCTATAATTAATCGTAATTATGAGTTTATTTTGTTTTGTCACAAAACAATAATAATGTTTTTAAAAAAATTATCTTTTAGTTTCATATAAATTAAGAAAACTGCGATGCTAATGAATATTAATAATTTCATGGGATCAATTATGCCGAAAACGTCAACACCAACAAAAGAGTTGATTGGAACTGATTATATCGATGGGTCATCTGGTCACGATATGATTAAAACAGATTTATTAAACTCTTACACAAACACTTTATCGTCAGTTGCTTGCTCTAAGAAACTTGCTACTAGCAAAAGTATCAGTAGCTATAATTGTAACAGATCAGTTTTAAAAGATAGTGATACGGAAGCTTCTGTAGAATGCTTGTCAAAAGATGAATCTTATCATAAAACGGACTACAATAGTACTGAATTTTTACAAGGTTATACACTTATAAACAATCAAGAGAATCTAGAAGCGAATGGGTTGAAAATGCGTCTTTTAGCGACGCTCGCTGATATGATTCCACATGATGAAAGTCTAAGTTTACGTCTACTGATGAGCTACACAATTGATGATCAAGAAAGTGAGTGTGTTGTTATTGATGAAACACTGTGTCGAGGGGGAAAGCGTAATGAAACCAACAATAGTAGTTCTCAAAATTGTTTAGATAAATCAAAAAGTAAGAATGGAATTCATGAAATGCTGCTCAATGAAAAAAAGCCTATATTGAGTGCAATATCTCTTGAAGCTTCAACTACCCAACAAAGTACTTCAAATGAAGCTGATGCATTAGACTTGTCTCTACATAATGAAACATCTGATTCCATGGACTATCATACAGATTCTTTAAATACAAAATTAACAAAACAAGATTATAAGTCACAAGCAATTATTGACGGTATAATCAGAGAAACAAAATCCCCAATCAATACATGTTGTATACCATCGAGTTTGTTATCATCTAGCCTTGTACAGTCCAATATGAATTCGACAAAACCTATAGATACAATTGTGACTACAACATCTGCAAGTAATTCGATTAATCAAATTCCATTATTTGATACGTCTATATTTGCATTACTTCCATTATTACAGCAACAACAACAGTCTCAACAAATACAGCCAAACCAACAAAATACAAATACTTTAGCATATCAAAATGTTTTAAATCCAAGTTCATTGTCATTGCTTCCTGCCACTATTCCTACTTCAATGACAACAATAAGTACAACGAAATCAAATCCTATCACTTATAATTATACAGGTATGTCGACAAATGCCAATTTGCTATTCAATCAATTATATCCAACACAATTGCAACAAAATATTCAACAAAATAATAATTTACTTACAACACATTTGAGTAGTATAATACCAAAACAAACAGAAATAACTACAACAGAATCAGCTTCGACATCAGTTTCAAATACAATCGTAGGTTCATTAACAAATAATGCAGTTAACACCCAGTCGCTTTTAAATACAGCATCTGTTATAGGATTCCCATTAATAAATCCATTTTCACTTCATACAAATATTACCAATAATAGTAGTACTAGTAACAACAATAGTAATACTGATCAATTTAATGCTTTCCTAACATCTACATCATTTCTGGGAACAACATCAACATCTACACTTTCACAAGCATTACTGACACAATCATCACCACCACCATCGAATACTACATCAATCAGTTTAGGACCGACAAATACCACTGCTACATTATTCAATGTCAAAGATAAGCAAACAGGTTTAATTGAAACTGTAGGTATAATGCCAGGTATAAAACATTTAAATCAACCAATTGCATCATTAATCAATCAGTTAACTCTTAATGCTTCGTCTAATAATAATAATAACAATAATAATAATATTTCACTTAAAACACTTTCAACATTATCCCAACTATTCAATAGTAACCTCCTTACAACAATATCAACTCATAATACTACTAGTAGTAATTCAAATTCTACAAATTTCAATATAGTAAATAATCTAACTATACCAACAATAGTAAATACCAATATTAATAATAATCATATTTCTTTGGATAATGGAACAATAAATGATAATGAACTAAATACAATAGAGAAAACTCATACTAAATCATCTTCAAGTACAAGGATATTATCGAATAGTTCTAGTCCATTATATTCATTAAATAATCATTCAACAGATAAATTTCCAAAATTAAATTCAACAAAAAGTCATAAAAATGAGAATATGAAATTATCAGTACAACAAAATCAACAGTCTAACACTGCAAACACTAATACTACAACTGCTAATAGTAATTTTTTATTTGGTCGAAGATTAGTTCTTAGTCGTCGTTTTATTTGTAATCAATGTCGTCGTAATTTTTCATCATTAGCTGAATTAAATCGGCATACAATTGAAGCGCATAATTCATTTCGTTGTACAATTTGTTCAGCACATTTTACACAAAGATCTAACCTACAACGACATTCATTGAAACATGTTGGCTTTAAACCATTTACATGTAATTTATGTAAAAAAGAATATTATCGTAAAGACCATTTAGTTAGACATATTGAAGTAACACATCCAACACATGATCCTAAAATGAATATCACTGTTCATTTAACATCATCAGAGTGTTTAGATTATTTGGATAGATTACAAGCTGGAAAACAATCACAATCACCATTATTACATCATAATCAACCGGAGAATAAAGAATCAACACCTCATTTAGGTTCAGATGTTACTACAAATATTACTACTACTACTGCTGCTGTTGCCGCTACTACTATAACTACGGGTAGTAGTATTAAAAACAGTACTGCTTCCGACCTATGCAACAAGAATAGTATTTACAAAGACGATTTTGATCTAATGAATGAAGAGTCCATGAGAATTGAAGAAGCTACATTAGAAACACCAGATATTGAAATGAACGGAGACAATGATATCAATAACAGCAATAATGAGGAAGATATTGAAGAACAATATTACAATATGACCGATTATAATGAAATTAGTTAACTATAATTGATTATCGGATTAAAAACAAACAGTCAGTAAGTGTAAAAATGACTTTAAAACTATTCCATCGAAATTTCCAAGCAGTTAGGAGTATATATACACACGAAAATGGAAATACATATATATTCCATTTTCGTGTGTATTTACTTGCACAACATGCACCGGTTTCTGTGTTATTACAGTTTACTAATTCCTCAAAACATTGGAACTCAGTTTCTTTTCTTCCTACTAAAATTGCATTTATGATAAACATTTAATATTGTGAATAACATTGAAATCTGTCAGTTACCTTTGGAATACCATTCAGCATTATCATGTATTTATTTAGTACTTATATAAAGGGATATGTGTTATTGTGCAGTTCCACTTTTCCAAATGCTTAACCAATTACACAAAGAAGTAAAAAGGAATAAATGAAATGAATAGTAAACAATAAATCTCAATCATATTAGTTCCTGTGATTAATTAATTCTTCCAATCGTTTTTTATGATAAAGCTCTTTTTATATTCTGTTTCATTGGATACAAATAATTCATTTTTATACATACATGTGTGTTAGGTCGGTTTAAACGATAACGTAGACCTTATTCAACATTCCATAATAGAAAACAGAGAAGTGAATTTTGATGATGAAAAATTTGACAGAGTACGGTATATTAGAAGTGACTTCGTTGTTTCTATTTCTTATTTGTCTCTTCCATACACAAACATGTTTTTTTTACAAAGTTATTTCCTTGCTTTCATTTAATCAGTTTGTAATTTGTCTTTTATATTTTATTGACAGTTACTTCTATCATTCCTAAATGCTATTAATGTTATTACCACCACAAAAACCAACTGATGATACCGATATTCAACATTTTCATATCTAATTCATATGTTTTATGCCCAATAATTCCGCTTTGTGAAACAGGCTATTTAGTAGTTCGTAATGAAGAAAACATCAATAGAAATGTGGTTATTCTAGACAGATATCTTTGATATTATTGTCATTTTAAATTGACAGTTGTCTAGGAGAAAAAGAAATGTAATTTATACCTATTTACATGAGACTAACATCAAATGTCTGTTAGAATATATATATTCAAAAGATTTATACCTTGTTAATCATTTTAAGTAGCATATTTACGAAACACTGGCTAATCATTGAGTGGTGACTTAAGTCATGTTTTTCTAGACCTTAGTGTTGATCGAGTATTACGGATTCAGTTACAATGTGACCACTAGTCTAAGTGACTCGATATAGTATGGGCTGTTGTGATAGGTGGTTAAAGGTACTCGACATCAAGGTGCACCTGATGTTTCTCGGTGGATAAGTAATCCTTACAACTCAGATTCAAAACTCAAGGCATTACCACTGAGCTATTCAGGCAGTAACTGGCCTTCTTTAGAACTGAAATGGTCATGTTGATTAGTCATGGAATAGGAATCAATATCACGTTAGTTCACACCAGGGTTTTCCATCGACAAACTTTAACCTTCATAACGTAACTGTCACGGAAGCACTTATAAAATTAATTCATTATATTTGAACGGATCGTACATTCTAGAATCAGAGGTTGGTTAACTCCTCTTTTAAACAGCTACATGAATGCAGATATCAAATTAGGCGGACTGCAAATACAAAGTGTTATTAATAATGTACTGATATACCCAATTTATTGATGAAGCTAATACTTAATTATATGATTTTCAGTGCTAACAATGTCAGTGTTTTTTATTTATTTTAACACATAGATATTGATACAAGGAGACACCAAATATATATGCGCCACACAGATTTCATTTGATATGTGTGAGGGCTGTGATACTGCTCGGGTGCCTGAACCGAAGCAGGTGGTTTTCTTAGGGGGCCACACCCCGAGCCTTTGACCTAGAGGTCTAGTCCACAAGGCAGTGGAGCGTCGTGAGGAGATGCAGTCCCATGGTAGCCGGTGACCAAAAATTGGTTCATATGCCATTTGTTCCCGCAGGATACTGGAGCCCATGTGCACCATTGATTTGGGATCCGGTTAAAGCGCCGGACATTCGCTTTTCGTCCTCTCATTTTCGTAATTTATATTTATTTATTTATTTTAACACATAAGTATAGGTACAGGGAGGCACCAAATACATATGCGCCACACAAATCTCAATTGATTTGTGTGAGGGCTGTGATACTGTTCGGGTGCCCAAACCGAAGCAGGTGGTTTTCTTAGGGGGCCACACCCCGAGCCTTCGACCTGAACGTCTGACCCACAAGGCAGTGGAGCATCGTAAGGAGATGCAGTCCCATGGTAGCCGGTGACCAACGATTGGTTCATACGCCATTTGTTCCCGCAGGATACTGGAGCTCATGTGCACCATTGGTTTGGGGTCCGGTTAAAGCGCCAGACATTCGCTTTTCGTCCTCTCATTTTTGTAAACAACACCCCCGCCACGAGAAGGCAGTGAGTAGGACTTCCCTGGCAGAGGCTATATACGCATGGCCATGTGAGAGCATTTCGAGAGGGAGAGCGGACTCTCCCCACTCTCGGCCGTACCAGGGCATTTGGGAGCCTCATTTTCGTAAACACCCCCGCCACGAGAAGGCAGTGAGAAAGACTTCCCTGGCAGAGGCTGTATACGCGTGGCCATGTGAGAGTATTTCGAGAGGGAGAGCGGACTCTCCCCACTCTCGGTCGTACCGGGACATTTGGGGGCAATGAGTGTGTGTAGTTTTCATTGATGCATTGCTATCAGGAAATGTATAACTTAAAATCCTAGGAGGTGTTGGACCACAAGAAGCACCAGCATAAGGAGTGAATCTCTACTGATACACCGAACAATATTAAAAAAGGAAGAAAAATAAAACAGCAATCAACAGCAGAGGAAGTTGAGGAATAGGCCGAATAAGCAGAAGGAAAAAAAGAGCGAATAGGCGCATTAGAGCTGATAAGCGAAAATACATGGAAGATCTAGCAATGACATGAGAAAAAGCTGAAAGAGAAGGAAAACAGAAAACCTCTTGACACAAACAAGGAGCTAGCAAGGAAGATACAGTAAACCAGAGAGACCAATCAAGAACAGAGAAGGCAAACTAATCACCAAAATTCAAGAGTAGCGGGACAGATGGATAGAACACCTTGAAGAGCTTTGATAGATCAGACTCAGTGAACACACCAAGAGTCGAAGTAGCACACACAGATCCTCTTATAGATGTTACCCCACTAACAGAAATCAATACCACCAGACAAATCAACAGAACCAGACAACATACCAGCTGAAGCACCAAGGCCAGATATGGAGGTAAACTGCGAAAAATGCTCCACATCCACTTCATGAGGATTTGGGAAGGAGAAATACCGGCAGATTGGAAGGAGGGGTAACTTGTCAAGATACCGAAGAAAAGAAATCATAGTAAGTATTAGAAATACAGAGGCATTATACTACCATTTGTATCAGGAAAAGTCCTAATCGGCGTTACTGAACCAAAGAACATCTCAATGGCTCCCAACTTCGAGACCAACAAGTTGACTTGCGTGAGATTCAATTGTGTGCCAACCGAATTGCAACACTATGGATCGTTATTTTGCGATCAACAGAATGGAACTCATTACCATACATCAACTTTCTCGAATATGAGAAAGCATTCAACAGAATAGATGGGAGAATCCTCTCCGATACTATGATGTGCGTGAGATTATCACAATCATATGGAAATCCTACGACAGACTACACTGCATAGTATAAAGTAAGCAGCAAACAGATGCATTCCACGAGATAACAGTTGACAGATAAGGCTACTTACGTTTGTCCTCTCTCCTAGTGGTTAACCGAATTATGAAGGCCTCCCCAAATCAGGGGAAGTACAGATTTAGCTAGACAATTCGGATCTCGCAGAAGCCTTGCCCTTCTATCCATACACAGCAACCAATGCAGGAGCAGACATCCGGTGTAACAGTAGTAGGCTTCAATATTCACAAAGAAAAAAGTGAGATCCTAAGATACAACACAACCTGAACCAACCAAATCACATTTGATGAAGCTCTGGAAGAGGTGGGAATTTATATACACATGAGCATCACTGATAAACGAGAAGAGTCTGATGCAGATGTGAAGGCATGGATTGGAAAAGCAAGGGAAGTATTATTACTAGTGAAGAATATCTAAAACTCAAAGAATCGACACTCAAGATAAATGTCAGAATTATCGACAAGAAACCTAAAGCAGTTATTTGTACAGAGCTGAAATTTGGGGAAATATTACAGATAACATTAAAAGGGTGTTGGTATTTGTGAACAGCTTTCTATGAAAGATACTCCAGATCTAATTGCCAGAGACTACCAATAATAACCTGCTATGGCAACGAAAAAACGACCTCCCAGCTGGATAGGAAATCTGGAACAGACGACCGAGGTGGATAGGTCACACTTTACAGAGCCGCATCACTGGGCAATCCCTAACACGGAATCTTCAAAGGAGGAAACCAATAGAATGAAGAACACTAGACAACTGGGAAGGAGAGCCCCAGACGGAGTAGGTTGAAGATACCAGATTGACGGCCTATGCTCCACTAGGATTGACAAGCGTAATTAAGTAACCTCAATGTCATAAGAAAACGAAACAATTAGAAAGATTAAGTACGGTCTAATCACCAAAATCTTGCATAAATGTGGAAAATACCTCCACAAGATTTCGGCAAGCCTATGTGTGCTTAGTGTCAAAAAACAAGTATAGTTATTCTGTTATCTAAGCAACTTAAGTTGTTTGATCATCATTTCCTAAGATTAAACTCCAAGATCCCCAAAAATAACTTCGAACTATTGCACTTCTGACCGCCTTTGCACACATTTATAAACTATCTCATCAACCAAGTTTGGTTATTAGTCTGCTATATTTCCTTGAAGCATAATTGATATCAGTTGAAATGACGAATGCAGATTTAAAAATAGAGTAAAATGTTTAGGAAGAACACAATTGTAAATCCAATCTACAACTTATATTCACATTAGGATATTACGGTCGCTATATTATAGTTTCTAATGACAATTAAACAATATACAGGTGAACATTAATTAAATCCTGTGAATGAATTTAAAATCTGAAAAAAACGTGAAAAGCAGAATCAGTTTTTTAACCCTTATTCTGTTGTTAAATTACTCAAGTATATAATTCGAAATTGCCGTTAATTTCATGCTCACATAATTTGTGAAGAAACCCATTTGAATTATAAAACTTTCAATCAAAGCATTATATATATCATTAGAATGTTGGACAAAATTGTCAATAATGATTAGTCTCAGAATAGAGCATCTAAAATATTATGTGGTGATTCCATGAGGAAATTATATATATATATATATATATATATATATATATATATATATATGACTGTGAGTCCCCTTACCCACGAAAAACATTCAGTTCACTGTCGAGGAAAAAGTACGAAAATATTAAAAGAAATTATATTCTAATAAAAACAATACGGTTACAGGATCAGTTACAAACAAACTGTATATGTATGCATATATATACATATATTTATATTGAAAAAATCACTCTCATATCTGATTAAAAAAATAAACCACGGAAAACAAAAAATAAATCCGTGCATAAATAAAGTTGCCGTGTATAGATTAGTGCATATATGTATGCATGGATAATATGACCAAGAGATATGATATTAAAAGTTTAACCGATTAATGTGGAGTACAAATATTGGGTACAAATAAACACACACACAAACACTCTTAGTGAGAAAATAGTTAATCATCAAGTCGATTAGGATCAAGGTGCGTAGAAGATTGTTTACCACGACCTAGAACTTTACTCAATTGTTTCAGTATTTTCGGTTGACCCTGGAAAATAAATATTTATAAGATAAATGAAAGTCAAATAAAATTACACAATATTAAGTCATATACTATGACAATTCAATTAGACGAAATAAACTGTTATTTAGGAAGTTATATAAGTACATGGCAGCAATATATCGCCATGTCATAATCTACGTAGGACCTGGGGCAGATCTGCATTGGTTCAAGTTGCTACACTACAACATCACAATGATATGAAATTAACGAGAATCATAAGTAAATGTATCAAAGTAATACTCGCATCTATAACAACAAGAAA